AAGGCAAAGGAGTGCCAATGAGTTTAAGAGATCTACTATCCAAAATTGAGTTTTGTACGTTTTGATGGTAGATCGTAGAATGGGAATGACTTTAAGTCGATTACAGCTTTGCAACAAACTGATAACCCAATAAAATTCTATTTTAGTTATGATAACATTTTTGATAAAATGTAATTATGAAAAAACATAAATCAAGAACCCGTCTACAACCACACAACTACTAACGGGAAAAAGTTTAGTATAACATTAGTCCTTTGTGGACATTTCCATTTTCGAAAAGCAAGCCACAGTTTAAATGACAGTGCAAACGATGTGTAAGAGACTAGTACGCAACTAGTAAAGCTAGCCTAGCAATTCCAGCTTTAGCTAAGTGTATTACATTTTTCAAATGAAGAGGTATTTTATTACTCATATTTCTTATCGCCACGGNTAAAGCTAAAGCAGCAAGCCTGAATTTCTAGCTATTCGGCACAAAGTAACGAGTAAAGTATTCAACGCGAAGGGCTTATTACCTCAAAATATCAAAAGCAAGGGAGCTTAAAAGCCCACTTTTTCTCTTATATTGCTGACTGGTAGGATAAACAAATGCACATATTTAACTGTACATGCAAATGCACTATGTGTACAAGCATTTGTTTGTATTGGAAATGTTGCCTACTTTTTGGAGAAATTTGTGCTGAGCTTTTCATAAGCTGCGATTTATAGTCAAGCCTACGGTAAAGCGTAGAATGCATTTAGGCCTCCACTATTTCTTTATTACAGTGAGTTTACAAAAAAAAAGTGTGCCAGCGCCTTTGAAACAAAAAAAAAATATTACTTACAAAAATTAAAAGTTCCTAGGCGCAAGCATATCATTTTTTCGCTGGAAAAAATTACAATTGCTATTGAAAATTTACCTCTTTACAGAAAAAAATTCTTATTTCCACAAAAAATCTTTCTTTAAATTTTCAAAAATAAACTCTTTTTAATTTTCTTAAAATCATATATGAATTTACTAAAATGAATATTATATTAATTTCACGTGGAAGAACATTAAAATTTTTAGGCGATTGTAGAGCTGCCACGCAACGGGTCCCAATTTTTATGTCAACTCAGCGCAAATTTATCTTTAAAAATTTTTTAATATCAAAGAGAAATATAATTCCTTCTTGATTTAATAATCTTCTTGAAGAAAAACTATCTATGCTTTATTTTATGAGATGGCTTTCCTCTTGAAAATTTTATTCTTTGTTGTAAAAATTTAACTTAACCGAGTATCATGCAGACATATTCATCTTTGCTCTGTCAGAACTAGAGATGTGCGCAAATGGTTTTGCTTTGACTGTACACTACTGTACAGTCTAAGAAATGCTGTAATGAAGCAAATTCTCGTTGCAGTAAATGAAGTTAAACTCAATGCTTGCTCGCCATCAAAACACATACTCCTAGCTATAGTTACTGCAATGATATTATTTGTTTGCCTACTGCAAAAAGTGATTTTCTCTAAAGACAGCAAACTAACGAGGGAGTACAGCGAGTGCAGTAAACCAATGGGGTGTGCAGTAAGCGGCAGTATTGTGTTCCTTGTTAGTCATTTTGTAATATTACGCCGTGATACAAGTATCAAAAATTATTTTAATACATACGTACATTTATAATATATATACGCACTTATATGTATATACATGTTTTTTATTTTCGTCATGGATACTGATGACATTATACAATATTTTCAAGTCATGTACTTACATGTTTCTAGTAACCTATTATTATAGCAAATTTATTAAAAAAGCAACATCATTTCAAACACAATTTTAATCATTTTTATCTTATTAATGAGCCTATGTCTATTAAACAGGGACCGTAACAGTTACAAATTTTATTTAAAAAAATCGCGCTTTAACAGTTTTTTTTTTACTTTTATTTAATTATTCCTTAAATAACAGTTATTACTGACTTTTGTTTTATAAATGGAAAATAACAATTATATTTTATTTGTATCTTAATTATGCAAAATTAAAAAAATTACAATTATTTTTGATTTTTATCTAAATAATCTGCAGATAATTGTTATTTTTGATGTTTAAATTATATGTCTCAGATAACAGTTATCGAAGACTTTTATTTATAATAGTCATAAATAAAAATCAGTCACTGGCCTTTATTTTTTAAATCATTCTTATAAAACTCATTTCTAGCAGTCGCAGAAAACTTTGGTTTCCCAACACGTTTTAACCGCGAAAAATGTTAATGACTTTTATACGAATGATTTAAAATGAATGATTTTAATTTTGTATAAAAATTAAAAAAAAAAATTAAAAACAGTTTCACTCTGTTCAAATGTGCCGCCGACAGTATTTGAGATTGGCTTGAGAAATTTTGAACTAAAGATCGGAAGAGCCAGCTCCTGTTATTGAACTAGTTCAATAGTTCGTTAATTAAAGTGAACTAAACTTTTCTATGGCAAGACTCTAATAAAAATGGAAGTGTTAGCTTTACAACACATATGAGAACTCGTTTTCCGACATAAGAGTGATTTTGGGCCATATAAATAAAACCTTGCCAAATGATTTTTCTTAAAATTTCAGACCTTTTACTCGATTTCTTCAAATAAATTTAAGTGAAAATTAAGAAATGTAAAGTAAAAGCATTTGCTTAGTTTTTATGCATACAGCCCTTTATTTTATTTTATTTCCAATACCTTACGTCGTTTAGTGATAAAAGATAAGTATTTGAGTTGAGCTTTTGGTATTTGTTATTTAACAAGATACTTCATTTTTCAGATGCTAAAGAGAATCGCAATTACTCGCATTTAGAAGTCAAAATTGAAGAAAACAAAATTAAATGCAGGCACTGCCGAATTTCATAAACGTTCTTTCGTGATTTTGGTGTAAGACGACTGAATTGTGTGGTTATTGCTATATGTTATATGTATGTTTGTATGTATGTATGCGTGATAAACATACATTTTTGTTATTCTGTAACTCCTACTACCGAACTAGTATAATTAGGCAAACTATATTTCAATAAGGTGAACAAACTAAGACTCAGAAGACTAAGTTCATTGAGCTGAATGAACTAGAAGTGAACTAATATTTAATGTGACCTAAAAGTCCAACTCTAATTTGAAAGCTCTGTGTAAATGAAGTGAAGTATAGCAAAATCGGCAAATGTTTTGAATAGCCTTTCAAAGCCATTTATGCACACCTCTAGTCAGAAGTATGAAATTGAGGCGAAACTGGTCCAAAGTTGTTGAAATTGAAGTCCTTTTTGGGAAATGTGCTTGCGATTTTTTCTTCTTCATTTTCTGAAGATGTTCTCTATAGTCATATGTTCCGAAATCCAGCAAGCACCAAAAAGCCAACATTTTCATGTGAAGTTAGGTTCGGTTATGTTGGCTAGGTACACCCAAGATGCCAAACCGCAGCCTAATTGGGATTGAACACCCACAGAGGATGTACTTCGAACAGTCTGCTTGATCGTTCTGGATCTCCTGCTAATATTATCATTTACCCGGACAAAATTAATGCGTTTGTGTATAGCAGGGTTGTTGCGAATATATTTCCGAAATAAAAGTCCTTTCCGGATAATAAGCAAACCGCCTGTCCAAATTAAATAAATTTGGTATCATATGAAAGAGGGCTGAAATAGCTTTTATACAGAAATAATGAACGACCTCTATTTATATTTTTTTATAATTTAATACACAAGTATTTTTTATGGTAATTAATTGACATTTTTTATTGAAATCTTTTCAATATGTGGCTTTCCTCCTTTAGACATTTCAGTTTTAAAACTACTTCAGTGCTCTTTCATTTCATACCAAACTTGTTTAATTTGGATAAGCGGTTTGTTTATTATCCGGAAAGGACTTTTATTTCGGAATAATTTTCGCAACAACCCTGGTGTATAGTTCGTGCTCTTTGTTAACCAAACGATTTTTTTTGGCGAGTCTTTTGTTAATAATACCATTGTGCCAGTCTATGTGTAAATCATGCTGCCTTTTACTCTACCATACTTCTTAAGAAAGTTCTGTTCCTGTTCGATAGATCATCTGGCTCATTTATGGCTAAAACTTCTTCCTGAAAAACGCTATGATAATCCGGCAGCTCATGATACACTCACCTATGTAAATTTAAATACACGCTTTTGCAGTAAAGTGATTGCCCCATCACCAGGTTATTAGATCAATATGTAATTGCGCGAGAAGGTATACTTATTTGCAAAACGAAATTATTATTACTTTGCTATTTTTATGCTCTTTTGAGGAGAAATTACATTATATGATACTGGCCGTAATTTGCTAGCATTTGGGTGAGGTATGAGAAAGTAATTGTTGCTTGAAACTAACAATTGGAAAAAAATGCTAGTGATACAAAAGAGTTGGAATGTGCTTATTCATGACTTTCTTACAGCAAATTTGAGCGCGTGCTGCCACTGTAATGATATAACGCAAGCTCATGAATCAGTTGTGAAGAAAAAAAGTCAATTTAATTTTATTGATAAATTTGCTTACCTATAAAGAATAAATAAAAAACTTTCTTCATGACAGCATAATAATATGTCCATTGAATTGCAATATCCATGCTACATATGTCTTCACATTTATTAGTTATATTTGTAATAATTTTAAATGTAGATTATTCAATGATTGCGTATATATTTCATTCGAATATTTAAAGTGAAATCAAAAGAAACAGTGCCAACTGCATGCCTTGCTACAAATACTTAAAAATCGCGTTCGTGTCTAAAGTCTTTAGTGTACTCACCTCACAATTCCGTCCTTAAGAAAATAATCCATAACTAAAAGCGGTAATATTCACATTTGTACTTTATTTAAACGTTTGCTGGCTGGCCCGCTACGATACATTAATTACCATTTCAACTACATACAATTATTAAACTAAATATCCTTAGAAAATATATACAAAAGAATCATTTAATTACACTAGCATAACCATAGATAATTAAGTATAAATTAATAAATCTAACACTTATTCGAAATATGCAATAAACCCTGACTCATTGACTATTGTCTTATATGTATGTATATGCTCGCGTTCTACTCCAATCAACTAGTAAGGATTAATTGCTGGATATCTAGTTGGTAACATGGCAATTGGACCCTTATTGCTAAGTTCATTTTCCAATTCAGAGTCTTGTGTAGACGCATACGTATTATAGGGATCACTTCTACTGGTCCAGCCGTGTCCACCACTCACAACTCCTTGGCTGCTGCTGGCTCCATCATAGCCATGCACTTGACCGCCATGTATGTGTAGATGTATTTCTTTCGTTGGCTGATGTTCGTGTCCATGCGAATAAGAGGCAGCTGGCGCTGAGGCGGCCCAACCACCAGTTACTGGTGGCGTCCAACTTTGATAATTCCATGAGGGCCCAGAGTGTCCATGCCCACCGAAGTCAGATTTCAGTGTAATAAATTTCGCCAATATGGCAGCAGCATTCATTAGGACAAGCAACTTGACCAGGAATAGCGTTTTCATGCCGAGCATTATGAGGAAAGCGACCATAGCGGTGAGGATGCCAAATTTGAAAATGAGAGGAATCAGAGCCATTTGTAGGCGGCGAATTTTTCCGAATGTGCGACTTTCTGGAAAGAAAAAAAATTAGAATAGTTTTATTTTACTTTACAAGGACTTTTATATGATTGGTATATTTTTATCTAAATACATTAGCACGTAGTCAGCATACATATATTATTCATATTATGTTCAAAACAGTAAACTGTTTAAATTAGCTAATTCAAAAAGTATATGAAACACAAAAATACCGTAGTGAAACGAAAGAATGTTAATAAATCTTTGGTTTGAACATTTCGAATGTTTGAAGACAGTTGCCACGTGTTTAAAAAGTAACATTCAAATTATTTAGTAAGGTGGATGAATTACTAAAAGATAGGTATAAATCGAAATAGGTTTGAAAGGGATTTATTCCTGCCCTTAATTTAGGAGGGTTGCCCTTTGTTCGAATATGTATATCACAATGTCAGATGAAAGAGATTTAAGAAGATTTTTTTTTTTTTGGGAATACCTTTGAAAAGTCCTTAGCCTGTAAAGTTTTATTTTATTAACTAAGATCTTTTTTCACCGGTATGGGGTGATTTGAAATTCGATGGGAATGAAAACATGCACTATACGAGACTGCTCTTCACCCAGAAACGGCTGCACGATTTCGATGAAATATGGCACTCGGATCTCTTATAACTAATATAAACATATACTTAAGTACATTCGCGTAAATTGTAAATAGGAAACTCTTTCTGGGAAGCATGCAGGGAAGCACTTTTTCCAGTCCTTATGGGGTAAGTCTTTTAGAATGGCTTCACTTCAGATAGCGTACCTAAATTATCTTTAGGTTATGCATATACAAAATGGCAAAAATGATCATGAAGCGCATTGTAGGATATGTGGAAATTTGATAATGGTGGTAAGGCAAGCATTCAAGACCACGTTAAAAGCGCCAAACATTTTTCCAACTCACGCCACCGTAAAAAGAAATTTGTTCTTTTATGATAAAAAAAATTCAGAACTTGAGCGTTTCATTGTCATCAATCATTCAGCTCAAAAAGCCATAAAACTACATTGCTCNGGTGGTAAGGCAAGCATTCAAGACCACGTTAAAAGCGCCAAACATTTTTCCAACTCACGCCACCGTAAAAAGAAATTTGTTCTTTTATGATAAAAAAAATTCAGAACTTGAGCGTTTCATTGTCATCAATCATTCAGCTCAAAAAGCCATAAAACTACATTGCTCATAATATCAGAAAATACTTCAAAATAATGCAACGCCAGAACCAAAGAAACTGTGCGCAACGCACAGTGTATCATTTCCATATTCTAGAGAAGATTAATTACATTATTTTATGTCGCCAAATTTCAAAACAACGTCAAGAATGTTTTTAGAAATGCCTGATAAAGATGAAACAATAACAACTAAAAAATTTAAATCAAAGTGTATGGCGGGACGGGGTTTGATTTGGAAAATTACTAAGGGCAATAATATTTAAACTTGTATATTTGAATCTCAATGATTAATTTGTCGGTGTTATGTGATTTATGCAACAATTGCTAAAATATCATTTTGGTCTTANAATGTTTTTAGAAATGCCTGATAAAGATGAAACAATAACAACTAAAAAATTTAAATCAAAGTGTATGGCGGGACGGGGTTTGATTTGGAAAATTACTAAGGGCAATAATATTTAAACTTGTATATTTGAATCTCAATGATTAATTTGTCGGTGTTATGTG